TAATGTAGTATTTCGGTAGTTTTACTCTATGTCTGGGAAAGTCTTTCCTTTAAAAGAGATTGTTACAATATTATGGCTGTTTTGAACCATTGTCTGTGTACAAAACCCGTCCTCTTAAAAATAACGTCGCTTTTCACCCGTATGCGAACTATGGCCAAATTTGGACGTAATTTGAAATGAAATCGACTCACAAAAGTGTCGCACTGACCCGTTTTCTGTTTGAGTCGTCCGGCTTACTCGGTAAGGTTAGGAGAGGAAACTTTCAATTAACGTTTGGTGAACATGAAACGATTGCCTCGTGTGAGAGTTACGTTGTTGTGTGTGAGCGACTAACTTGGAGAGTGTTTGGTGTACCCCCATGAAGTCACATCCGTTATCGTGTTCATGGAATTGTGGAGGCCCTCGGCCTTTCCTGGTAGGAGAGCTGACTTAATCTTAGCATATCTTGAGGTTATCTTGAGATGATTTCGGGGCTTTAGTGTCCCCGCGGCCCGGTCCTAGACCAGGCCTCCACCCCCAGGAAGCAGCACGTGACAGCTGACTAACTCCCAGGTACCTATTTACTGCTAGGTAACAGGAGCATTCACGGTGAAAGAAACTTTGCCCATTTGTTTCTGCCTCGTGCGGGAATCGAACCCGCGCCACAGAATTACGAATCCTGCGCACTATCCACCAGGCTACAAGGCCCCTTGGATGGCCCCTTGGTAGCATGACTGTCATTGCTCTATGCCGATCGTTTTGTGGTGCGACCGAAATGGCAAGTTAATAAATCTTGTGTGTTTTCTAAACGATGGATTATTTATCAAATTGATTAACACTTTGCGCCCAGCCAGTTAGACTGGACGGTAGAGCGACGGTCTCGCTTCATGCTGGTCGGCGTTCAATCCCCGACCGTCCACAAGTTCTTGGGGCACCATTCCTTTCCCCCGTCCCATCCCAAATCCTTATCCTGAACCCTTCCCAGTGCTATATAGTCATAATGGCTTGGCGCTTCCCCCTGATAATTAAACAAAAATTAATCGTTCCACTTTAATCTTATATATATATATATATATATATATATATATATATATATATATATATATATATATATATATATATATATATATATATAAAATGTTTTTTCTGTGTCTGTTCGAAAATGAAGACCAGACGCTTGGGCTAGTCTCAATAGACTTTACAGGGTGACTGGTCTGTGGTTAGGGAGTGGTCATGTGGGTCAGTGTTCACTTCCATCTTCCCTATTTGTATAAAATAATAAGTGATTCTATTTTCCAATTTCGCTAAATAATTATTAATACTAATTCATTGTGGCGGGGGACTGGAAGCCAGTGCATATGTGCTTGTTAGGCGTCTATCGAGGTGACGAAGGGTAGTGAAGATGGTGACATGATCCCACGAGGCCGAGACATGACCCCATAAGCTACAACATGACCCCATAATCTACAACATGACCCCATAATCTACAACATGACCCCTAATTAGTGTCATATAAGCGCCAGCAGCCCGCGGGGTCATGTGACTGACTCAAGGACTCACTATAACCCCGTGATGTCACGTACGTCAGACACAGTGGTCACTACCAACGGTGACACGTACAAGTGCTTGAGAATGTCTTGACCTTCAAGCGTGGGAAGCGCCTCTGAGAAGCAGAGTAGAGTGACGGGTGACAGCAGACACGTTGACGGGTCTGTGACGGGGGGGGGGGCAGACCTGAGTAGGATGATTCAGAGGTTTCACACACGAAAAGTGACATCTCCTGTCACATAAATGACATCTCCTGTCACGTAAATGACATCTCCTGTCACATAAATGACATCTCCTGTCACGTAAATGACATCTCCTGTCACATAAATGACATCTCCTGTCACATAAATGACATCTGTCACGTAAATGACATCTGTCACATAAATGACATCTGTCACGTAAATGACATCTGTCACATAAATGACATCTCCCACATAAATGACATCTCCTGTCACATAAATGACATCTCCTGTCACATAAATGACATCTCCTGTCACATAAATGACATCTGTCACATAAATGACATCTCCTGTCACATGAATGACATCTCCTGTCACATAAATGACAGGAAAAAGCGACAAGACACAAGTTAACAGTTTGTATAATAATTTAATTCATTGCGTCGAGGGACAGGCAGCCAGTGTGTATATTGTAGTAGACATTCATCAGTCTCAGGAGACTATGGAGTTGCGGTATGGTTGTCGGTCTGAAACCAGGTTAGGTTTGATACGGAGGAGAAGCTGTCACCCATGCAGCGGGTTTTCCTCTCCACGACGCCGAAAGACTCCAATGGAAAGGCAAACGCCAATACGATTGGTTCCATATATATATGGAACAGGACCGACCCCGCAACAGGAACGGAAGTAGCCAGAAGAAGAACTATTTACTGCTAGGTGAACGGAGGCATCGGGTGAAAGACTCTGCCTATTTGTTTCTGTCTGGGCCGGGAATTGAACCCGGGCCCGTGGAGGGAGACTCCTGTACGCTGTCCGGGCAAGGAGGAGGGGGGGGGGGGCTAAATTCACAACATGCCCAGAATGTTAAACAAATATACATATATACTGTCTCAGATACACATGAGAGCTTCCGTTACTTCTAAGGTTTATAGGGAGTCTGTCAAGGGGGCCTGACAGCTGAGTGGACAGCGCTCGGGATTCATAGTCCTGAGGTTCCGGGTTCCATCCCCGGCGGAGGCGGAAACAAATGGGCAAAATGTTTCTTTGCACCCTGATGCCCCCTGTTCACCTAGCAGTAAATAGGTACCTGGGAGTTAGACAGCTGCTACGGGCTGCTTCCTGGGAGTAACAAAAATGAGGCCTGGTCGAGGACCGGGCCGCGGGGACGCTAAGCCCCGAAATCATCTCAAGATAACCTCAACATATATTGTTTATCACATCAACTCAATAATATTGAGACAATATATATATGCCTTCAGCAGTGTAAGGAATAATTAAGCCTTACTGCTGCCTGCGATGTAATTACTGAGTACAATGGATCATTTTTTTTATTTATTTTTACACCAGGCAACACAAATGGCGGTTCATGCGGGCTTAGCATGCTGAAGTGATTTGATAAGAAATATATGTGGCCAAAATCTGGTCAATTACTGGAGGAAAACAGGCTTTAAGCCGAACAATTTACAAAGTGACAGGATGAACAACCCAGCGGGTTTTCTTCCTATTGGGGAGTGTTGTGCATGCTGCTATGGCGGTGTGTCCACTCACAGGATGAGTGACGCTGCCCAATACTGTCACTATGGCGGTGTGTCCACACATAGGATGAGTGACGCTGCCCAATACTGTCACTATGGCGGTGTGTCCACTTACAGGATGAGTGACGCTGCCCAATACTGCCACTTTGGCGGTGTGTCCACTCACAGGATGAGTGACGCTGCCCAATACTGTCACTATGGCGGTGTGTCCATTCACAGGATGAGTGGCGCTGCCCAATACTGTCACTATGGCGGTGTGTCCACTCACAGGATGAGTGGCGCTGCCCAATACTGTCACTATGGTAGTGTGTCCACTCACAGGATGAGTGGCGCTGCCCAATACTGTCACTATGGCGGTGTGTCCACTCACAGGATGAGTGGCGCTGCCCAATACTGTCACTATGGCGGTGTGTCCACTCACAGGATGAGTGGCGCTGCCCAATACTGTCACTATGGCGGTGTGTCCACTCACAAGATGAGTGGCGCTGCCCAATACTGTCACTATGGTAGTGTGTCCACTCACAGGATGAGTGGCGCTGCCCAATACTGTCACTATGGCGGTGTGTCCACTCACAGAATGAGTGGCGCTGCCCAATACTGTCACTATGGCGGTGTGTCCACTCACAGGATGAGTGGCGCTGCCCAATACTGTCACTATGGCGGCGTGTCCACTCACAGGATGAGTGGCGCTGCCCAATACTGTCACTATGGCGGCGTGTCCACTCACAGGATGAGTGACGCTGCCCAATACTGTCACTATGGCGGCGTGTCCACTCACAGGATGAGTGGCGCTGCCCAATACTGTCACTATGGCGGTGTGTCCACTCACAGGATGAGTGGCGCTGCCCAATACTGTCACTATGGCGGTGTGTCCACTCACAGGATGAGTGGCGCTGCCCAATACTGTCACTATGGCGGTGTGTCCACTCACAGGATGAGTGGCGCTGCCCAATAAACTCGCCCCTCGGGGCAAAATTTAACAATTTTAAATCAGCGGTGTGCTAGTTACATATACTAATTAGGCTCCTTACGCCCATCCAATGGGCAGCAGATAAGATTTCTGATACTACATCATTTTGAATGCAATTTACATTATTTGAACAATTCTAATGTAATTATCTCTGAAATGTGAATCTGTTTACATTTATTTTATTTAGTTTATCGTTGGGGGGTAGTGGATTTAGATAAATTATAATATATTTATTGTTATATGGCATACACTTGGTTCATTTAGTAATGTAGGTGATACGATAAGATTAATTATACCTATTAAACGCGGGAAACGATGCGCTCTTATTAATAATTCCAGACATAAGGTAATTATCCAATTACTGGCCTCGATGAACCGAATGAAGGGAGGAGTTGGAAGGGAATTGAACGGCTAAATAATACAAGCAAACTAATAATGACACACATATACTCCCAAGGGCAACTTTCATTAAAAAAAAATAGAAACATTGAGTTTTCAAGAACAAGTATATATAAATATATCAGATCAAATTCTTCTAGAATTTACGTACTTGAAATTATCTGTTAGATTAAGGACCTGCCCGAAACGCTGCGCCTACTAGTGGCTTTACAAGATTGTAAATTGCTATGTATTCTCACAAACTCAATGTACCTTGTTGTATATACAAGATTGTAAATTGCTATGTATTCTCACAAACTCAATGTACCTTGTTGTATATAAGTAAATATATAAGATATGAGAGGCACGCTTAGCGCTGCACCTTTGTCAGCGGCCCGCGCGGGGAGGAGACATCTAGCGAGCACCGATCCAACCAGTCAGTTGCCTCGAGGGAACGTGTGCGAGTGGGTGTGTCGAACTCCGCTGCCGTGGGAAAGTCTGACATCTTAGCCGTTTAAGGTGGTGGTAGGAGTGAGTGGTCTGTAAGGAGTGTACACGAGGTAAAGATGAGCAAGAAGTGCGCCAGGTGCGAGAAGGCGGTGTACCCGCTGGAGGAGCTGAAGTGCTTGGACAAGGTGAGTAGGCGTCACCCACCCTCCTTGTCTTAGAGCCCCCCCCCTCCTCCTCCCTCCTTTTCCTTCAAGTGTCTCTCTCAGCTCCTTGTATAACGTCTTCTCCTCTTCTCCCACATCTTGGCTTACTGTGGGAGGCTGCGGCACTCCCACACAAGTCATCTTACTTGCACACCCCCCTCCCCCCCTTTCTTGGGATTTCAATGCCCCTATTTCTATTTTCTCAAGTTTTTTCTTGTCTTGTAGTTCTGTGGGTCATTTTATTTGTTTGTTTTTGTTTGAATATTCGTGCGTTTGTTTCTTGTTTTAGGAGCTTCGGTGATTTGTTTTTTTGTAAGCTGTTGAGTAATTTGTGAAGTAATTGTTCAGGTATTTTGGGTATTGTGTTGGGAAAGTGACGGTACTGGCCCCTGGTGATGGCTGGGGGCTGGGAAAGTGACGGTACTGGCCCCTGGTGATGGCTGGGGGCTGGGAAAGTGACGGTACTGGCCCCTGGTGATGGCTGGGGGCTGGGAAAGTGACGGTACTGGCCCCTGGTGATGGCTGGGGGCTGGGAAAGTGACGGTACTGGCCCCTGGTGATGGCTGGGGGCTGGGAAAGTGACGGTACTGGCCCCTGGTGATGGCTGGGGGCTGGGAAAGTGACGGTACTGGCCCTGGTGATGGCTGGGGGCTGGGAAAGTGACGGTACTGGCCCTGGTGATGGCTGGGGGCTGGGAAAGTGACGGTACTGGCCCTGGTGATGGCTGGGGGCTGGGAAAGTGACGGTACTGGCCCTGGTGATGGCTGGGGGCTGGGAAAGTGACGGTACTGGCCCTGGTGATGGCTGGGGGCTGGGAAAGTGACGGTACTGGCCCTGGTGATGGCTGGGGGCTGGGAAAGTGACGGTACTGGCCCCTGGTGATGGCTGGGGGCTGGGAAAGTGACGGTACTGGCCCTGGTGATGGCTGGGGGCTGGGAAAGTGACGGTACTGGTCCTGGTGATGGCTGGGGGCTGGGAAAGTGACGGTACTGGTGATGGCTGGGGGCTGGGAAAGTGACGGTATTGGCCCCTGGTGATGGCTGGGGGCTGGGAAAGTGACGGTACTGGCCCCTGGTGATGGCTGGGGGCTGGGAAAGTGACGGTACTGGCCCTGGTGATGGCTGGGGGCTGGGAAAGTGACGGTACTGGCCCTGGTGATGGCTGGGGGCTGGGAAAGTGACGGTATTGGCCCTGGTGATGGCTGGGGGCTGGGAAAGTGACGGTACTGGCCCCTGGTGATGGCTGGGGGCTGGGAAAGTGACGGTACTGGTCCTGGTGATGGCTGGGGGCTGGGAAAGTGTCGGTACTGGCCCTGGTGGGGGCTGGGAAAGTGACGGTACTGGCCCCTGGTGATGGCTGGGGGCTGGGAAAGTGACGGTACTGGCCCCTGGTGATGGCTGGTGGCTGGGAAAGTGACGGTACTGGCCCTGGTGATGGCTGGGGGCTGGGAAAGTGACGGTACTGGCCCTGGTGATGGCTGGGGGCTGGGAAAGTGACGGTACTGGCCCTGATGATGGCTGGGGGCTGGGAAAGTGACGGTACTGGCCCTGGTGATGGCTGGGGGCTGGGAAAGTGACGGTACTGGCCCCTGGTGATGGCTAGAGGCTGGGAAAGTGACGGTACTGGCCCCTGGTGATGGCTGGTGGCTGGGAAAGTGACGGTACTGGCCCTGCTGATGGCTGGGGGCTGGGAAAGTGACGGTACTGGCCCTGGTGATGGCTGGGGGCTGGGAAAGTGACGGTACTGGCCCTGGTGATGGCTGGGGGCTGGGAAAGTGACGGTACTGGCCCTGGTGATGGCTGGGAAAGTGACGGTACTGGCCCTGGTGATGGCTGGGGGCTGGGAAAGTGACGGTACTGGCCCTGGTGATGGCTGGGGGCTGGGAAAGTGACGGTACTGGCCCTGGTGATGGCTGGTGGCTGGGAAAGTGACGGTACTGGCCCTGGTGATTCCTGGAGGCTGGGAAAGTGACGACACTTTCTCAGTGTTAAGAGTACCCATTAGTTCTGGCAGTAGGGAAGTAAGGTAGAACTCTCCAACCAATCTTGTCAAATATAAGAAATATATCTGGAACACAAGTTGAGGCTATAAGAGGCAGTTGTATAAATTAATACATTCTGGGGTACCAGCCGTGCTGTAATGCGTAATAGGCCTAAAAACTGCTTCAAGCAAGTTTTTTTTTTTTTTTTAATATCACAATACATGCGTGACCTCGGGCCGGGTTCGAGAAATGGAAGGATTATAAGTTACTGCAAGCATGATGTTAAGGCTATAAGGCCTGCCGACTTAAAGCATAGTTCTTGTTCAGAATTAGGCATGCTTGCATGCATTAGGATACATGCGTGCATGCAATTCTTTGCATATTCGGTGAATGATTTCGAAAGTTCCATTATCACAGTCTTGCTGGGTGAAATGCCTGAATTCTCGCGGGCTCACTGTAGCCCATGCTATCTTGAGGTTATCTTGAGATGATTTCGGGGCTTAGCGTCCCCCGCGGTCCGGTTCTCGAACCAGGCCTTTTTTATTTTTTTTTTTTTTTTTTTTTTTTTTTTTTTTTTACACACCCCCAGGAAGCAGCCCATAGCAGCTGTAACTCCCAGATACCAATTTAATGCTGGGTGAACAGGTGCATCAGGGTGAAAGAAACTGGTCATTTGTTTCCGCCTCCCGCCGGAGATCGAACCTGGAACCTTAGTACTACGAATCCCGATCGCTGTGGACTCGGCTGTCAGGCCCCTTGATCATTTTTTTAACTTGATAAAGGTGTGATAATTTTTTTTGGTGTTGTTGACAAATTAATTGTGTACGTGATATAAACTTGCATAAGCTTGCATAAGGGAGCCGGTCGGCCGAGCGGACAGCACACTGGTCTTGTGATCCTGTGGTCCTGGGTTCGATCCCAGGCGCCGGCGAGAAACAACGGGCAGAGTTTCTTTCACCCTGAATGCCCCTGTTACCTAGCAGTAAAATAGGTACCTGGGTGTTAGTCAGCTGTCACGGGCTGCTTCCTGGGGGTGGAGGCCTGGTCGAGGACCAGGCCGCGGGGACACTAAAGCCCCGAAATCATCTCAAGATAACCTCAAGATAGCTACCTTGTGTTGTATTTTGCACCTACACATGCGTGCATTTGTATCTTGATATATATATTATATACATATATAATTATATACATATATATAATATATTGGTGTATACTGGCAGCAGGTTTTCTTTTAAATATGTCTCATTGAATATGACCGCATATTCTGTGTTTACTATCTTCTGATTTAGGGCTTCTATCCCTCTATTTTCTTAGCATCAGGGCTTAGCTGAAAGAGGCGTTCTCCAAAACTCATTTTCGTAATTTCAAGGTGAAGAAAAGAAGTGGATTACTATAGAATGTATTACACTTATTTATACAATTTGCACGTTTCGAACCTCCATGGTTCATTCTCAAGTGAAAAGAATTTTCAGGACTGTGTATATAATATATATACACACACACACACACACACACGTGTACAGTATAGCTAAATTCGAATCTCTGGAATGATAATTCAAACGTTACCCGCACAATTCACTGTGGTGGAGTTCTCGTGTGATGCTGATGTCATGGTCATGGGGCGAATTTTTGTTCAGACAACCTAAAGAAATCTTATTTTAAAATGTAAAGATTATGATCTATTTAAATTGTTTATATATGAACTAGGCTATTTTTGTCCAAGGTGGCTTGGTTACCTTGAGGTGCTTCCGGGGCTCAGTGTCCCCGCGGCCCTGTCGTCGACCAGGCCTCCTGGTTGCTGGACTGATCAACCAGGCTGTTAGACGCGGCTGCTCGCAGCCTGACGTATGAGTCACAGCCTGGTTGATCAGGTATCCTTTGGAGGTGCTTATCCAGTTCTCTCTTGAACACTGTCACTGTTCAATGTTGGTCAATACAGCCTTAACATATTTCATTAATTGCGGGAGCTTGAAATAAATTAATGGGCCTCATAAACACATTAGTTGTGAATTGGGCAATATAACACTAGGATACGACTATGCGAGTAAATGTAGTGTATGAACAATTTCATACATAAATGTAATGTAAGTGTAATATATATTTTAAGTGTAGGCTTCTATCTCGATCTGTTTGGAGGCCATTTCCTCCGGAGTATTGAACGTGTTGTAACATAAATGACAAAAGTCTGACATTGAATACTTCCTGTTACTCGACAATCATGTGTGGGGGGGGGGGAACACAATAGCGGGTATCCATTTATTGTGGCTCTCTATTGACACATACGCTGATGGGCACATTTTTTTGCCTGTTATTACGTCAACATTGAGCAGTGCGGGTTGTAGTTCCGTCACCGTGGCCTATTAAATCGGTATTTTCTAGTAGATACACCCGGCTGTCTAGTAGATACACCCGGCTGTCTAGTAGGCTGTCTAGTAGATACACCCGGCTGCTTAATATTTTGCTTGGCAGTAAAAGTATGGTTTATTTTTAGAATGGTTCTTGCCTCAAATTAGTCCAGTAAGCTGTAGGTTAATGGATAGTCATGGCATGAGATTAATGCTAGGCTTGATTTATTTGTCATTCGTGGAAAGTAAATGACTTGTTCAGTCACTAGTGAAATAGTTTACTATTAAACATCAGCGTCAACACAGGAGCGGGGCGCTCCTGTGCCAGGCAAGTCCACTACGGGATCGCCATAACCCGTGCTATGTGGAACTTTAATTCAGAGTAGCTGAATCTAAAACAGCTTAAGAAACGCTAACAGATATTCTGGCGAGTAGGAAAAATCCGTGGCCCATAGCAAAGTGACCTGTGGTTCATGAACTTGTTGGTGTAGATGCTGGGTTGGAGTTTTCCCCAAGTTCTGGGAAAGGTCATGTGGCTTGCCTTATACGGCGTGGCCTACCTGCCCGCATCTGCCGCTTAATGTGGCTGCCGAGCTCCCTTGTATGGGAGCTCGGTGAATGTGTGTACGTTGGCGTACTGTTTGACATTGAAATAA